TGCTTATAATCCCAGCACTTTGGGAGGCCAAGGCGAGCGGATCATGAGGTTGGGAATTCGAGACCAGCCTGGCCAACACAGTGAAACCCCCGTCTCTACTAAAAATACAAAAAAATTAGCTGCGCATGGCAGCATGAGCCTATAATCCCAGCTACTCAGGAGGCTGAGGCAGGAGAATTGCTTGAACATGGGAGGCGGAGGTTGCAGTGAGCTGAGATCGCGCCACTGCACTCCAGCCTGGGCGACAGAGCAAAACTCCATCTCAAAACAAACAACAACAAAACAAATCCTTCACTTCATAGGATTGTTCCAAAGGGTACATTAATTAAATGAGATAAAGCACTTAAGATAATGCCTGACATACATGTGCATAATAAATTATAGCTACTATTATAGCAAATTTACAAGAATAAATATTATATAGCCATTAAAATTATATTGCTGACATAATACAGCAAAAGAAAAAGCAGGTTACAAGAGTATAAATACCCAACATTTGTTTTTACTATACACATGAACACATAAACACTTATGCAAAGTATCTGTCTATATGTGTGTTAAGAAACTGAAGAGTTTTTTTTAATGGGTATATGCCAAAATGTTAAGAGTGGTGATCTCTTGGTGGCATGATTTTATTTTGTTTGCAATTTTCATAGTTTCTCATATATTTTAATAAGTATGTGTTACTCTTATTTTGGTTTGTTTGTTTGGATTTTTGAGACCAGGTCTTGCTCTGTTGCCCAGGCTAGAGTGAAGTGACACAATCACAGCTCACTGCAGCCTCGATCTCCTGGATTCAAACATTCCTCCCCGCCTCAGTCTCCCAAGTAGCTGGGACCACAAGCGTGTGTCACCACCCATGGGTAACTTTTGTATTTTTGCAGAGCTGGGGTTTTGCCATGTTGCCCAGGCTGGTCTTGAACCTCTGGGCTCAAGAGATTCACCTGCCTTGGCCTTCCAAAGTGCTGACATTACAGGCATGCGCCACCACGTCCAGGTGTATATGAATTACACCTTTAATGAGAAAGATAAAAATTTGGGGGACTGGGCATGGTGGCTCATGCCTGTAATCCTAGCACTTTGGGAAGCCAAGGCAGGTGGATCACCTGAGGTCAGGAGTTCAAGACCAGCCTGGCCAACATGGTGAAACCCCATCTCTATTAAAAATACACAAATTAGCCAGGCACGGTGGTGTGCACCTGTAGTCCCACCTACTTGGGAGGCTGAGGCAGGAAAATTGCTTGAACCTGGAAGGTGGAGGTTGCAGTGAGTGGAGGTCACACCACTGCACTCCAGCCTAGGTGACAGAGAAAGACTCCGTCTGAATAATAATAATAATAATAATTATAATTATTATTATTATTATTATAATTTTTTAGGGGTTGGGAATTTAGGTAGTTGTATTGCTTTAGAAGAAACAAGAAGTATTCAGTTTGCCTATTTGATCAAAGACGAATACTCAACATAAATTTATACAATAACTAAAATAATCATGAAAGAAACACTTCAGTTTCACATTATGAACATTTAAGGGTCCAAAGAAAAAAATGACAAAGGAGAAGAAACAAAGAAATACAGGAGAAAGAGGGAGGAAGGAATGGGGAGAAAAGCACACAGGGAGATAGGCAGGTAAGATAAGGGGGATGCAGAGGCAGAGACTTAAGTGCTAGAGGTTCTTTTCAATTCTGTGACATTTACCAAGCATCTATGTGCCAAGCAATGTGTGTGAATATGACACAACTTCCACCTTCACAAAAAACTTATGTTCTGGCCAGGGGTGGTGGCTCACACCTGTAATCCCAGCACTTTGGGAGGCCGAGGCAGGTGGATCATTTGAGGTCAGGAGTTCTAGACTGGCCTCACCAATATGGTGAAACCCTGTCTCTATTAAAAATAAAAAAAAAAAAAAATTAGGCGTGGTGGTGAATGCATGTAATCTCAGCTACTCGGGAGGCTGGGGCAGGAGAATCACTTGAACCCGGGGAGGTGGAGGTTGCAGTGAGCCAAGATCGTGGCACTGCAGTGAGCCAAGATCATGCCACTGCACTCAGTCTGGGTGACAGAGCGAGACTCCATCTAGGGAAAAAAAAAAAAAGAAAGAAAGAAAACCAAAAAACCCCCCAAAACTTACGCTCTGTTTAGTTCCATGTTTTCTTGCCGTATCACACACAAAAAAACCTGAACCCTAAAAATGAATTAGAACTAAGAGCCTATCCAAGAGCCACCAAATTATAAGCAGAATCTGTGAACTATTCTGATGTATCCTGCCATCCACTTGGCTATATCTGCAAAGTTATCATTTTCTTTTCAGGTCTAATTTAACTAATTAAACTGCTTTCATGACTCTTCATCTAGACTAAAAATCCTTAAAATCTGAGGGTGCTCTGTTCTGAATGAGAAAGAAGCCCACTAGGTAGGCGTTTTTCTTTGGGCTTCAACAGAGAACTGCAAACTAAAGAGATCCAGCCATGGGCAGAATTTCCTCACCACTAGTTAAGCAAAAAGAACAGCAGGCTAAGCAAGATAATCTCTGTTGTTCTTTCTAGCTTCACTACTCTGTAGACTAATGGAACCTGGAATCCTGTCATTATATTTTATTTAGAAACCTGAAAAATGTTTCATCCTGTTCAATTTATGCGAAGATGACTAATCCCAGAACATCAAGTTTAGACTGAGATACAATGATAGTGTTTATAGGGGAGCTATTATTTTAGCCAGTTCCCTGGAAGCAGGATAATCAAATGCTTGTAAGACTCAAATCCATGCTATGGAACATATGCTCCTAAAACCACAAAGTGGTTAAAATATTAATTAACCTCACGGAATGGATGTGTTCCTGAGAAGTAGTGAATTTTTGTAAATCATGTAAAATCAAACTTTAAGAACACTGAGAGGGGCTGTCTTGGTGGCTCACACCTGTAATTCCAGCACTTTGGGAGACTGATCGCAGGCAGATCGCTTGAGCCCAGGAGATCGAGACCAGCCTGGGCAACATGGTGAAACCCTGTCTCTACAAAAAATACAAAAATTAGCCAGGCATGGTGGCGTGCACCTGTGGTCCCAGCTACTTGGTTGGCTAAGGTGGGAGGATGGCTTGAGCCTGGGAGGTAGAGGCTGCAGTGAGCTGAGACTGCGCCACTGCCCTCCAGCCTGAGTAATGGAAGCGAGACCCTGTCTTTAAAAAAAAGAAAGAAAGAAAGAAAAAAAAAACCAGAGAGAAGGGTATTCTATTAAAGCAATCAGTGTCCTCTATCCTTGTAAGTTCTAGAACACTTTCCTTAGGAAAATAACATATGCACATACACAAAACAAGTTTCATACAATTTCAAGAGTTCCTGAACCCCACGCAAAGACCTCATTGTCTTAAAAGAGCTCAAAGTTAAAAGGCACTCACAAACAATTCTTTTTTAAACAATCAGAGTTATTAGAGCTAAATTTTTCAGTATTACTAATCTACATTTTTACATATTAGGTTTATTTAAAGTGAGATTTTTGCTTCATATGCAAATTTGTGGTTTTGATTTTTTAAAAAACAGACCCACAGATGATCAACAAGTGCTTGAGACATTATCTGTATCTTTCCCAAGAAATTCTTACCAGTGTGTGTTTTCATGTGTTCGTCGAAGTACTGCTTCATGTTGAAATCCTTGCCACACCACTGGCACATGAACTGTTTGTGCCCAATATGAATGCTCATGTGGGAGCGTAGCTGGTACTTGTACTGAAACCTTTCGTCACAGTTCTGCATTGGACACAGTTGGAGATTTTTGAATGCCAAGCATAGTAGCTTTACCTGAGCCCACCCTAACATAGTCTCTGATATTAGGCTTATTTTTCATACTCAAAATAGAACCTGCTTGTGTCAGCTATTTGGCTTTGCTATATTTCTGCAGGTGAGTTACTAATAAAAGGGAAATTTTCTCACAAAATTACCACTGAAGTATACTCGACTTCTCAGAATCACTGAGAAAAGAAAAATAAGTCATTGTGTGTTACTTCTAAGTTAACCTAATCTAAGAGTTAACAGTGTGTTAAAAGTGACATTTTTCTACCTTGCAGTGACAGCACACACCAAGCTCAGGCAGTGACAGCACACACCGAGCTCAGAACACATGTCTGAAGGTTCTGTGGAAGGCAGCTTTGTGCCTCCTGCTCCAGCATACCTCTCTCTCACTGGTCCGCCATCTATGCAAACACTAACCCCTAGGCCTGGGCCTGTAGGTAGCACATTCCTTACCTCGCATCTGAAGGGCTTCTCTCCAGAATGCTGCAAGGAGTGCACCTTGAGTGACATACTGCGTTTGAATGATTTTCCACAGGTTTCACATGTAAATGGCATGTCTTTTGTGTGTGCTGCAACACAGAATGTACTTAGTGTCAAAACAAATCCACCAAAAAGCTCAAACTAAAAATGTATCCTACTGTAAAACAAATATGCCCTCCTAATTTTCTACACTGATTTCTGAGCCTTTTTTTTTTTTTTCTCAGATGGAGTCTTGCTCTGTCGCACAGGCCGGAGTGCAGTGGTGCGATCTTGGCTTGCTGCAACCTCCGCCCCCCGGATTCAAGTGATTATCCTGCCTCAGCCTCCCGAGTAGCTGGGATTACAGGCATGCGCCACCACACCCAGCTAATTTTTGTATTTTTAATAGAGACAGGGTTTCACCATGTTGGCTAGACTGGTTTCAAACTCCTGACTTCATGTGATTTGCCTGCCTCAGCCTCCCAAAGTGCTGGGATTACAGGCGCGAGCCACCACACCAGGCCTTTGTGAGGCTATAACAGTAATATCTGAAGAGAAAAATAATGTTGAAAAGAAATCTGGGTGTGGAAGACTATACCATCCAATTTGGTGATACTTACTGAAGACATATTGCATTCAGTTTCAACAGGTCAAAACTGATTAGGGCAATTCCTCATATTCTGCCCAACCCAAGGCATAAAGTACACAGAAGAGCAAGGGAAGATTATAGGTATGAGAGAAAAGCAGAAAAACTTACCAACCATGTGTTTCCGCACATGAGCCATGGTATAGAATTTCTTCTCACAAATTTCACAGGAAAATTTCTTTTCTGCATATCCATGGACGATCTTGATATGCTCATGAAGGGACCAGAGTTTCTTGAACGATTTGTTACAGGAAACACACTGAGCAGGATAAATAGAAATAATATTTATAGGGGCTTACAGAATGCCATACCAGCCTACTGGCAGATGAAACGGATGTGCTTCAGGTTCATGGCACAAGGCCAGAATCCAGATAAATGCTATTCTTCCACAGAGCCCAGATTCCAAAACCAACATCTGTATGTTCTCTTTTTCTAAGATGCATCTTTTAGACACTCTTTGGGAGTATGAAAACAATGGCAAAAACTAAGACAAAAAGTGGAAAGTTCCACTAACATCAAGCAATGTTCAAGTGATTCTCCTGCCTCAGCCTCCCAAGTAGCCAGGATTATAGGTGGGAACCACCACGCCCAGCTGATTTTTTTGTATTTTTAGTAGAGACGGGGTTTCACCATGTTGCCAGGTGATCTCGATCTTCTGACCTCGTGATCCATCTGCCTTGGCCTCCCAAAGTACTGGGATTATAGGCATGAGTCACCATGTCCAGCCAAGCTTTTTTATTTTTAAACAGAAGCTGCAAGAGATTCAAGTTTTAAAAATATATGTATTAAGCAAATGTGGCTGCCTCCTCCACATCAGTTAGTAAGGGTTTACCAGAGAATATATACTAATTTTAAATTAGTATAATAAAGACAAGATGAAACAAAATACATTATTAGTGGTATAGGTATTATAGGTATGTAGAAATATAAAAATGTTCTTACGCCTTAGAAAATGCATTTGGAGCCAGGCGCAGTGGCTCACGCCTGTAATCCCAGCACTTTGGGAGATCAAGGCGGGGGGATCACCTGAGGTCAGGAGTTTGAGACCAGCCTGGCCAACATGGAGAAACCCCATCTCTACTAAAAATACAAAATTAGCCAGGCATGGTGGCACATGCCTGTAATCCCAGCTACTTGGGAGGCTGAGGCAGGAGAATTGCTTGAACCTGGGAGGCGGAGATTGTGGTGAGCCAAGATCACGCCACTGTATTCCAGCCGGGGCAACAGAGCGAGACTGTCTCAGAAAAAAAAAAAAAATGCATTTGCAGCATTTATTAACATGAATAATTGAAACGTTATTATATTTCCCCAAATCTAATTTACAATTTCAAACACTTCCCTCTGGCAGAATATACCCTCTAAACTCTTAGTATCACTCTCTCTCTCTCTTTTTAAATTATTATTATTATTTTGAGATGGAGTCTTACTCTGTCACCCAGGTTGGAGTGCAGTGGCGTGATCTCGGCTCACCACAACCTCCACCTCCCAGGTTCAAGCGATTCTCTTGCCTCAGCCTCCCGAGTAGCCAGGGCCACCATGCCTGGCTAATTTTTGTATTTTTAGTAGAGACGAGGTTTCACAATGTTGGCCAGGCTGGTCTCAAACTCCTGACCTCGTGATCTGTCTGCCTCGGCCTCCCAAAGTGCTGAGATTACAGGTGTGAGCTATTGCACCCAGCCTCACTCTTAAAAAATTTTTAAAAAGTTTTTTTTGGTCTAAACTTTAATTAACTAAAGTCTATCCCTTTTCCCTTACAGACCAGTTCCAGAGCTCTCTTGCAAGAATCTGTAGAAAACACATGCCATACTGCCTAGCTCCTTGTATCATGAATCATTAATAGCCTGTAATATTAGGCATCATGTGTATCAGAGTATTTCTAGTTAAAGCAAAACAATACTAGAAAGCTCTTGGTAATCATTAGGCTTTTGGACACTTATGGGAACATGTAAATAATTCACTGTAAATAAAGATCTCTCTAAACATCATTGTCACTTCAGGAAACAAGAACTCTAAGAGTTAAAATATAAACCTCTGGTTGGAAAATGCTCTAGAAAAGGACAGACTACTACTATCAGACATTTTGTAGGGTAGGTTTTTTGTTGTTGTTGTTTAGACAGTCTCACTCTGCTGCTCAGGCTGGAATGTAGGGGTGCTATCATGGCTTACTGCAGGATCAATCTCCTGGGCTCAGGCAACCCTCCCAAAGTGCTGAGACTACAGGCGTGAGCCACTGCACCCAGCCTTAGGGCAGGGTTTTAGTTTCTTTTTTTTTTTTTTTTTGAGACACAGTCTCGCTCTGTCACCCAGGATGGAATGCAGTGGCACGATCTCGGCTCACTGTAACCTCTGCCTCCCAGGTTCAAGCGATTCTCCTGCCTCAGCCTCCCGAGTAGCTGGGATTACAGGCATGTACCACCATGCCTGGCTAATTTTGTATTTTTAATAGAGACGGGGTTTCTCCATGTTGGTAAGGCTGGTCTCGAACTCCTGACCTCAGGTGATCCACCCGTCTTGGCCTCCCAAAGTGCTAGGATTACAGGTGTGAGCCACCATGCCCAGCCTGGGGTTTTAGTTTTTACTTGTTACCAGGTCATCAGGATTATTAGGATCTATACATAAGAACAAAGTACAGTGTTCTGTAGGAATCTGAATGAAGTTCATTTAGCAGAATCCACAAAACTTAAAACACAAATTTAATAGTAGTATGATGAAGAATTGTGAGGAAAGTCACATACAAAAAGTATTTATTAAATGTTTTCTTTTCTGTAACCTAAACAGATTTAAGTTTAAAAAAAAAAAAATACCCCACAAAACCTATATATAAAGATCAAGAACACTTTCAGTAACAGATCATTACAGAATCCAAGTTTGACCCCTAGAGTGCAGCAGTGCGCCACACTCCCTAGCACGCAGCAGGGCACCATACTCCCTAGTGTACAGCAGGGCACCACACTCCCTAGCGCGCAGCAGTGCACCACACTCCCTAGCGCGCAGCAGTGCACCACACTCCCTTTGGCCTGAAGTGTTGCAGACAACTCCTATCCAAGCCAGGGCACTGGCAGTTACCGGAGGATATGGGCTCCATGACTCGGTCTTCTTTTATTTACCCAGCATGTCGGAGATCAAGTCACAACTGATGAATCAAAAGTGGTGAATTTTTAGCAAATGCAATTTCCATTTTTTAAAACTCTTTAAAGTAGAGCAATGATCTCAGTTGTTGATTAAAAGCAATGAAAGAAAAGTGAAACTTAAAAAGTAACTACCAATATTAGAAGCACACCAAAAAAACAAAACAAACCAACACAATTTATCCTTTATAAGTTTAGCTTAAATATGGTACAAAATATTTCTGTTACATATCTTATGGAGACATGAATAGACTTACCTCTTATATTCATTAATATGCATTCACATGTGCAAACCAATATAACTGCAATCCATTTGACATAATATAATTAGCATACCTCTTTAACCTATCACAATATAGTCCTTTCACGACACCAACCTGGTTTGAATACCATTATTTTGTTACCTTAACAATACTGTACAGTGGCATTATGTAAACCTAGTGCCAGGTGGGCAACATTTTCAACCAGCTCAGCCTCTGCTTAAAGTTTGCATATTCCCATGGGCTCAGCCTCTTGGCAAATTTAGTGTTGTCATCTCTCCAATGGTAAAAGCAAACTCACTGCTGAAGATCTTCCATTTCCACCGGTCTGAGTCATGATGGTTTTTGTCCCCATCAGCTGTACTAGAATCTGGCATCATTATAAACCCAGAAAGGGACCTTTCTCTACTCCTAACCTTTAATCAGTAACTCCTACCTCCACAGAGAAGATGCCAGAATGAATTCTATTACATGTCCTACAACAGTGAATCTCAGTGCAAAGTTGGTGTTGATTTTAACCTCCTGGTCAATCAACTATAACAGATCCCCCTTCCAGTGTGCCTGGGTTCCCACTAGTCCAGCGTCAAATTTAATGCTTTCGAAATAAAAGCCTTGGTTTAGAAAAGACCAAAGCAGGAGCTTTTCAAATGATAAATTGGTGAAATCTGTCCCTTCAGCCTCTACTGTATTTATTCTCTTGGGCGGATACCAGATGAATCTGAACAGCCAGGTTTTATCCTGAAAAGTTTGCCCTCTCGGTGATGAAACCTACCTGAATGTTTTTTTCACAGTCTGTTTGCTGGTGAAGGGACAGCTCACTTTCCAGGACAAACTTCTTGCCACATTTATCACAAATCTGCATGCGCCTATGAGTAACGTTCATGTGCTTCTCCAGGTACCAGCGAGTGTTAAATACCCTGGGGCACTTCTCACAGGTCAGAGTCTCTTTCTCTTCACACTTAGCTTTCTGGACTGGTGCTTTGGGCTCCTTTGTGGCCCGCTTCTTACGCTTAGGTGGCTCTACACTCTTCCTACGACCTCTTGTAGTTCTGGGAGTAGGGGAAGTGGCAGCTGCGGCAACAGAGGCAGCTCTCCTGGTTCTCCTTTGTGTAACGCTGACTTTCTCTACTATCTTCTCCTTTTTCTTCTGCTTTTCATTCTCTCCATAGTCATTGCTGTCATCTGTGGCCTCTTCCTCACTCTCTTCCTCTTCCTCCTCACTGCTTGTCTTAAGAACAGGAGTCTCTTTGGACTGAGAAGAGACACCCTTTTCCCCTTTAGACACATTTAATGTTTGATTATTAAGGTTTACCTCCACTATGATCTGCTCCCTTTTGTAAGAGACTTCTTCCTCTTCCTCTTCTGTGTCGTCAGAATTCTCCCGGTCTTCCTTAACAGCATGCACGTCAGACACTGCTCTTGTCTCCCTGAAATACGGCTGTTCTTCTGTTTCATGGAGATGTGGCTTGCTCATCTTGGTGTCCACTAACACAGAATAAGGACTTCCTGACTCCCTTTTGTACACTTTGGTGGACAGGTCAAGTTCTTGGTTGGCACCATGATAAAAGGAAGATGGCACTTGACCACGACGGCTATCTTCTTGTGCCATTCCTGCTACATGCACAGCACAGTTTTCAACCAGTTCCTGACAAGAACTGGCTGTTTGGCTCATTGGTAAGTGGCCCAATTTATTAAGCAGTTCAGACTATAAAGAAAATAGCTTTAAAACAAGGTCATTATTAAGACTCAAATCTTTTTTCATCCACAAAGAATCACTCAAATGAAAAAAAGATATTCCTGGAAATTGTGTGCAATTCTTCCAGTGTTGCAGCACCAAAGCATGAGTCAAAAAGGTTTGGTATTACGGCAAGAGCAGAGCACTAGTGATGTTTCTTCTGAAGAGAGCTGCAAGGGACTTGGGAGCATCTTATCTACAAAGAAAAGCAAAGAGGAAAAAACATCAGATAATACCACTATTTCCTTTTTATAGCATGAATTTAAATCACAAGAAACATAGCTTAAATAATAATAATTATTAAATATTATTATTATTTAGAGATGGAGTCTCACTCTGTCACCCAGGCTAGAGTGCAGTAGTGCAGTAGTGCAGTCTTGGCTTACTGCAACCTCTGCTGCCCAGGTTCAAGCGATTTCCCTGCCTTAGCCTCCTGAGTAGCTGGGATTACAGGCAGCTGCCACCACGCTGGGCTAATTTTTGTATTTTTAGTACAGACGGGGTTTCACCATCTTGGCCAGGCTGGTCTTGAACTCCTGACCTCGTGATCCACCCACCTCGGGCTCCCAAAGTGCTGGGATTACAAGCATGAGCCACCACACCCGGCCAAAATTATTAAACTCTTTACATACACAATGCTTTTAACTGCTTAAATGTTTCAGTATGGGCCATTATTTTGATTACAGGAATTCAGAAACATTTTCTGTTAGACTATAAATTTTACAACAGCAAAAGCCACATCTGTCCAGTTCACTGAGATATCCTCAGAGCTTAGCACAGTATCTAGCATACAGTATATATTTGATGAATAAAATAATATTGCACAGCATTCATTTTCCTAGATACTACAGAATATGCTGATATGGCAAAACGTATGGTCTCTATCCACAAGACCTTTACAGTCTAGTTTACAATGTGTTGGACATGAAACACACAACAGCTTTATATTGGCTGATTTTCTTTCAACATCAATCACATGTCCACCACAGTGAGAGCTCGCAGAACAAAGGTGGTAGTGGGGTAGGCACTGTGGTCCCTGGAAATAATAGCTAATTGACATAACTATAGAAGAGAAGAAAAATGTCCTTGGCCTTAAATACTTTATAATCTAGGTATAAATATAATTGTTTTCAGGTTTATTGGAGTAATTTCAAAGTTGTCAAATATTTTAACATTTGTTCTGTGCATAGCTCACTACACCCACTCAGTAAGTGGGTGATTTTTTTATGTGTCAGTTGCACAGGAGTCTAAATTCTAAGAAACCATACCCATCAAGTTGATATGGTTCCAAGAAAAATAAAACCATCCAATATTAATTTTTAAAAAGCTTAGAAGGGCATATAATTTGCTTAGTGACATACTCACATTGCTATTTAGCCAACCCACCTATCCTCTGAGTCGTATGAATATTACTGTAAACAACAATTGACAAAAGGAAGGAAATTAGTATTTTTTTTTTTTTGAGACAGAGTCTCGCTCTGTTGCCCAGGCTGGAGTGCAGTGGCGCGATCTCGGCTCACTGCAAGCTCCACCTCCCGGGTTCACGCCATTCTCCTGCCTCAGCCTCCTGAGTAGCTGGGACTACAGGCGCTCGACACCGCGCCCGGCTAATTTTTTGTATTTTTAGTAGAGACGGGGTTTCACCGTGGTCTCGATCTCCTGACCTTGTGATCCGCCCGCCTCGGCCTCCCAAAGTGCTGGGATTATAGGCGTGAGCCACCGCGCCCGGCTGGTAATTAGTATTTATTAAATGCCTGCTATGGACATAGGCACTATAATAGTTTTTACTGTTCATTATTTAATATCTACCACAAAACTGTGGGGTTGATTTCTTTTTTAAGACCGGGTCTTGGGCCAGGTGCTGTGGCTCATGCCTGTAATCCTGGCATTTTGGGAGGCCAAGGTAGTCGGATCATGAGGTCAGATCAAGACCATCCTGGTCAACATGGTGAAACCCCGTTTCCACTGAAAATCCAAAAATCAGCTGAGCATAGCAGCGCGTGCCTGTAATCCCAGCTACTCAGGAGGTTGAGGCAGGAGAATCGCTTGAACCTGGGAGGTGGAGATTGTGGTGAGCTGAGATCATGCCACTGCACTCCAGCCTGGCAATAGAGCTAGATTCCATCTGGAGGGGCGGGGGGGAAGACAGGGTCTCACTCCGTCTCCCAGGCTGGAGTCCAGTGGTGCAATCATGGCTCACTGCAGCCTCAACCTTCTGGGCTCAAGTGATCCTCCCACCTCAGCCTCCTAAACAGCTAGGACCACAGGCATGTGCCACCACACCCAGCTAATTAAAAAAAAAATTTTTAGAGATGGGGTCTCCCTATGTTACCCAGGCTGGTGGGACTGGTTTTTAAATTCAATTTTTATCAAAATAATCATTTTAAAAATTCATAGTTTCACAATTCAAATGTATTGGCCGTACTCCAATTTATCTCAGTCCCATTCCCTGGAGGCAATAAGGCTGTTTTAGCTGCCCCTCTCTCCATTTAATCCCATATTTCTACATAATTTGATTATATTTCTGTTTCTGGACACTTTTTATTTCAATTTCAGATATTACCTTGTCTCTCTCTAGTTTTCTTTTTTGTTTGTTTGTTTTTGAGACAGAGTCTCGCTCAGTCACCCAGGCTAGAGTGCAGTGGCGTGATCTCGGCTCACTGCAAGCTCTGCCTCCCAGGTTCACGCCATTCTCCTGCCTCAGCCTCCCGAGTAGCTGGAACTATAGGCGCCCGCCACCACCCCCAGCTAATTTTTTGTATTTTTAGTAGACATGGGGTTTCACGTGTTAGCCAGGATGGCCTTGATCTCCTGACCTCGTGATCCGCCCACCTCAGCCTCCCAAAGTGCTGGGATTACAGGCGTGAGCCACCATGCCTGGCTCTCTAGTTTTTTTACCTTATTGTTCCCAACTCTTCCCTCATGCTCCCAATATAGTTATATCACAACTTTGAAAAAAATCAGTATTTATGACTAATATTATGACTATAAGTAGTTCACAATTATTTCTATCACTCCTACACTAGTCCTTTGTCTTCTCTTCCATTTTCTTTTTCCTTGTGAATTTCTTTTTTAAAAAAAATTATTTTACTTTTGCTTTAATGGATTTTCAGGAATTTGTGGTAATAAGTGCTACCATGTTTTACCTGACATCTGAATAGATATATTCATACTTTCTTGTACTTATAAATGGTAAAATTGTGGCTCAGAGAGGCAACATAATTTGTCTAAGATCACAAGTCTATCAAATGACAGACGTAGTATTTGACTACAGGCCTGCCTGACTCCAAAGCTCATGGTCTATTTCTACTATGACAAATGACACCTTGAAATAATTTAAACTCAACTATTCTTTTAACTGCTTATCTTTTTGTACCAGTTTCATGCCTCATATTTTAAGTAGGAAAATCCTAGCAACCTTATTCTACATGTGCCAAAACTTCTCACCCATGGAAATGTGAACTACTATGAGTATCATTTAAACAAACTCATATTAATTATCTCAAATTAAGTAAGGGAGGAGTGATTTAAAATTCAATTAGCTAGCAAAAGCTAGAAGTTAAACAAAAACCAGAAAGACAAAGAAAAAGAATAAAGAGTAATTATTAATTCATTTTCTTTCTTTTTTTTTTTTTTGAGACGGAGTCTTGCTCTGTCGCCCGGGCTGGAGTGCAGTGGCCGGATCTCAGCTCACTGCAAGCTCCGCCTCCCGGGTTTACGCCATTCTCCTGCCTCAGCCTCCCGAGTAGCGGGGACTACAGGCGCCCGCCACCTCGCCCGGCTAGTTTTTTGTGTTTTTAGTAGAGACGGGGTTTCACTGTGTTAGCCAGGATGGTCTCGATCTCCTGACCTCGTGATCCGCCCGTCTCGGCCTCCCAAAGTGCTGGGATTACAGGCTTGAGCCACCGCGCCCGGCCTGCTATTAATTCATTTTCCAAATATTTCTGACTCTCGGCTTTCCGGGCACATGGTAGGCTACATCTTTTTTTTTTTTTTTGGAGACGGAGTCTTGCTCTGTCGCCCAAGCTGGAGTGCATGGTGCAATCTCGGCTTACTGCAACTACGCCTCCTGGGTTCAAGCAATTCTCCTGTCTCAGCCTCTGGAGTAGCTGGGGCTATACACACCACCATTGCCAGCTCATTTTTTTTTTTTTTTTTTTTTTTTTGAGACAGAGTCTTGCTCTGTCACCCAGGCTAGAGTGCAGTGGCACAATCTCAGCTCACTGCAAACTCCACCTCCCGGGTTCAAGCAATTCTCCTGGCTCAGCCTCCCAAAGTGCTGGGATTACAGGTGTGAGCCACTGCACCCAGCCTAGGCTACACTTTTTAAATCACGCCCACAACTCCTATTCCCTGTAGTTGGATGGGGTCCTGTGACTACTTCTGGTTAGCATATTATGAGAAGTGACAGGGAGAGGCAGGGCATTTACTAACCAATATGAAATCCTTCAGATCTCTTTTCCTTCTGGCACAGTGGCTAGCAATCTTTCAGGTGATGGTTGTTCTCCCTCTGGTCTCCTAACAACTAAGACGACCTACTGGATAGACGTAGTGTATTTTCTTGGTGTTTTTGTTTTGTTTTGTTTTGTTTTGAGAGAGAGTCTCACTCTGTCACCCAGGCTCGGCTCACTGCAACCTCTGCCTCCCGGGTTCAAGCAATTCTCCTGTCTCAGACTCCTGAATAGCTGGGACTACAGGCACCCACCACTACGCCCAGCTTTTTTGTATTTTTAGTAGAGACAGGGTTTCACCATGTTGGTCAGGCTGGTCTTGAACCCCTGACCACAGGTGATTCACCCGCCTCGACCTCCCAAAGTGCTAGAATTACAGGCGTGAGCCACCGTGCCCAGCCACACGGTGTGTTTTTAAAGCCACTGAGATCTTGCATTGTTTATTACCACAGCATAATTTGGCTTATCCAAGCTGCTACGAGTAGACACCAGAAGTGGGGTGCTGCCTTACCAAAAAGCCTAAAATATATGACAAAGCCTTAGGAGCTGGGTAGAAGGAGGCAAGGAACGTTATTGGAGGCTAAAAGATCAGCAACTTATATTATACAGTGGTGAAATGATCACTGAAACTATCAGCTATCCCAGAAGGTAGATAACATACCACAAGAGCTAACAGCTCCAGTGGGAAAATGGACTATTACAAGTGCCTTGTATTGTAACACTGTTAGCTGTATTTAACAAATTA